GTAGTTTTAAGTGCAAAAAAAAATTAAACATGTAACACTGCTAGGCTAAGAAAATGCAGTGAAGATTTCACTGTTAGGTGCTCTCTCTTATTCTAAAAATTAAGGCAAAATCTTCAATCTGCAAAAAAATCATTCAACATATAACCTAGCTTCCTTTAAACTCTTTTAAGACTGCATAACAGAGATTCAAAATTTACCACACCTCAGTATGATACAGTCCCCCTTCTCCTATTGTTCAAGGGAGGAGCTATTTAAACTCCAATGTTTAGACTACTTTGCTTGCTGTCAATTGTTTGAAGAAGAAAATCAGAAAAATTATAATTGATCCATTCTCATTTTAATTAAAAGACTATTTTATGTACCTTTGGAAACCTTGTTAGACAATCTTTGTTGCTTTGACACTTTGGAAACTTTTGATGGCTTTTTTCCTTTTGTCAAGAATTGTGAAGAACCTACAAGTGGACAAGAAAAAATGGAAGACAATGTTTTAAACTTCAATTTAATTCAATCACTGCCCTTTCAACTACTGCAGTTAAGATTCTATGGGGACTCCTTTATGCAAACCAGTCAGTCACTCACTCACTAAGATGTGGACGCCATGGTGTTATGATTGTCCATTTCCTTTTCTTTTCGTTCTCTCCCTTTGTTTATTTTCTCTCATTTGCTTATGCTCACTAAAGCCCATGGTATCGTGTGAGCCTTTATGGTTGCGCCATCACAGTCAAAGTGCAGTTGGCCTTCAGTCATTCAAGAAGTAATGAGTCGTAAGTCAGGGTTAATAAGTCAATTTTGCATTTCCCGATCAAGAAGCTTCACTGTGTGGGTCAGATATGTAAGTGATTTCATTTCTACGTAATTTAAATGTATTTCTCATCGATTTAGTACACTGCACGATTCTATCTTAGCTCAAATGAATTGTTATTGTTTTCTCTCATGTACATGTACATTAATAGCCTGTTCCTTAGCGCCTAATGTGACTATTTTAACTTGTTTCGAAGTATCATATGCATTGCTGTTAGGCGAGTATGTTCGTAATTCGCTTATGCATAATCTCATCTTTGTATGGAATATTTCATGTGCAGAACATTGTCTATGTGATATTGGGGTTCTGCTCCCAAATATCCTCATGACACGTCTTGTCAAACTCGATAGTTGCTACCGTAACACAAGGTGATTAGTTTTCTTGAACTCACTGGAGCAGGAAACCATA